AGCCTGCAGCCACCCCAAAATGTTTTAAGGAGCCCCAAGTAGAATTTGATGTCATGTTTCTTCACCCATCAAAACCATCTATTTATATAGGCATATCACAACATGTTCTGCATCCCACTGGTTGAAGCTTGCAAATGATGTGATCTTTGTCCCTTCAGGGCGAGCCTACAGAGCTGATTTCAATAGCACTCTATTCACAGTTTCTTATAGCTGGCAGAAGCTGGTTCCCCCACCCCACCCCGCTACTTGAATGACTACTGGTGGAATGTGAAAGAGGCCTGTGCAACTGTGTCACACATGCTGATTGCATATTATGATGATGTCACAGCAAGATTGTGACTGCAAGATTCGCACTGTAATTTTGCCCCATCCCTAACGTGCTTCCACTTGTTCTTCCCAAAATACAAACTCCTCCATGAAATTACCTCTGCTGCTCCTTATAAAACATTCTGGAAAGCAGCAGAGCTGGCACTAGTGAAAGCACATGGGAGGGAATCCTTTTCTCCTTCAGCTTGTTCAGGATACCATCTGTCCTTCACAGATATCATCTGCCCTTCGTTATGTCGTTAATGTGCTACATATTCCCCCATTAGACTTTGCTGTTAAGAAGCTGGTTGCCGCGATTGGCATCACACTGTCTGGAATAAAGTAAACCAGGGAAGAATCTGTTTTACATTGGGCTGGGCAGCAGAGCCAAGCAATGAATTGAATTCCTTTCTGATGAATCTTTTATGGATCAGCAGATTTATTCAGAGTTATTTAAAAAGCAGTTAACATTCCATTAGCAACAAACTGTGATCTGTGTCAGCACTAAGACACTGTTCAGTCATTTATTTTAGAGCAAGAAGTCACTGCAGGGATAAATGCAATTATTAAATATCTAGCAGGCAGATGAATACCAAAGCACAGCTGGGGGGGGGTCTTTATGATTCTAAATGTTACATTTACCTGTTACAATCTTACTGAAATATTTGGACTTCTATTATTTTTCCTTCCTTCCTTCAGTGAAGAAAGCCAACAAATATCATTCTCATTTTCTGGATCAGTCAGCTTTTTAATCAACTGCTCTGTTTAAACTCTGGGGAAATACACATACATTGATTCAGTTTTATTTTACTGTGGTGTTATTGTACTCAAGATAGCCCAGAATTATCCTTCAAGATAGCCCCAAGTTAGACTGTATGACAAAAGAAATGTTTGCTTCCTCCCATAAGTAACAGTTCAAGGACAGAACGTAGGGTTATAGATGTTCAAGATAGTCTCTCAGAGATTAATTGTGGCTGAATTGGAGATGAGGCTAAGCAGGGCACATGGCAGGGTTAAGTATAACAGGGTTGATATTGGAATCAGTCCAACTGAAGATGATTAGATGCATGACAACATAATGCAGGAAAAGTCAAAGCCAAGAGGAAAAATGTCTGTTCGAGCACAGGGAGAAGCAAGAGAGTAGCACTTCCTTACCTTGGGTCCCCAGATGTTCTTGGACTACAACTCCAGAAATCCTGGCCAACTCAAGCTAGTGGTGAAGACTTCTGGGAGTTTTAGTCCAAGAACATTTGGGGACCCAAGGCTGGGAACCATTGCAATAGAGGAGGCTTATCAACTTAGGGGACAACTGTGTGGAGCTATCCTTAGAGCTTGCGAAAGTTAGGTTTTTGGACTGAAACTCCTACATTCTTCTGGTGATCATGATCAGTACAGGAGTTGTGGTCCATATAGTGAAATTTTCTTAGGCTTTCTAACTTGTCAACAAGTACTCTAACGCTGAGGGCAGTATAAGCAAAGGCCATATAGTGCAGTGGAATGCATTCCATGGTTAGCCTTCCTGAGTCCTAGCTCCTTTGACAAGACAGCATTAGAAACTCACTGAGTTCCAAAGCATTTGATGGGATCAGGATTCATCTGTATCTTCTCATTTCTCCAGCAATGGTTTAATTTGTAGGGACAGAGAAAATATTATTCTTTCCCTTCTATCTGGAGTGCACTCCAGATTCCTCTCTAAGCAGATAGCAGAAATAGAGAAAATGGCAGCTTCACAATCAGAAGATAATAAACCACTGTCCCTCCACACATATTTTCAAAGCTTTTGTGCAAAAAAGTTGAAAATTAATCCCATGATTTGCCAGCAAACTGCTACTGAGCAGAAGAAACTGGTTTGCCACTTGTTGTGTTAAGAATGTGCCTCTTCTAGTTAGAAATCTGGTCTCATTTGTTTCTGCTCACAATAGTAACGTAAATGCCAGAAAGAAATGTTTATTTCAGAATTTCTAGCATGGACAAGTTATTGCTTAAATACTCTCTATGTCATGTGTGTATGATGGGGAGGGACATGAAGAAAATACATCACGAGGTCCCTCTCTACACACACTTTGGAATCTGTGTTGATCTTACCATTTCTCCTGGATTAGCATTTTTCAGTACAGTCTATGTTGTGTGCCTTTTGGGGATCACATGCAGTAAAGGAGTATACCTAAGCTCTCGGACAAACACAAATCCTTAGGCAGGGAAGAATGATTTCCAGAGATTCCAGAGCTGCATATGCCCCATTCCTGGATCTTGAAGTCTTTACCTACATTCACTTCCTTCTCACTCCCCCAATTTTTTTTTGTTTTTCTTGAGGAAAAAAAGCCACCTCCCTCATCTACTCTCTAGGTCAGCAGTTCTTAACCTTTTCTTTACCACAGATCCCCTTTAAATATCTTTTGTTGCTGCGGACCACCAAGATTTAACTCAAGATTTAAAACCCTAAAGAGCATCAAATATTTATTTAAATGTTCTCATTAAGGGTCTCATCCAGAGATATTCCTTACTATAATGGCAACACTTTTTAAGATGACTGGGAAAAGATTCATTTTGCTTTGAACAGGATGCACCCTCATCGACAGCATCAGTTCTTTCACTTTTCAGATTTAGCCACCAGTCCATTCTGAGGCTCAACCAAAATGTATTGTTACAAAATTCATTGCAATAATATTGAAAAGTCACTTTACCCAACAATAACCAAATGGTTTATTAGCAGAAATCGAAGAAGAAACACCATCATGAACTCCATCTGAACACCCACTCACACAGACTGACTCAAAGTCTCTCTACCCGTGGCTTCTGACTGTCTGCACAGTAGAAAGAACTGTCACATCCTGTCTCTCAGCCACTCAGCATCATTCACTTGCATGTTCTCACCGTATGTAGAAATATCACTTATTTGCTATCCAACAGTTATTTTCATAACCAGTTTTTCCTTTTGTTTGTAATGGAGGCACTAGCTGAGAAAAGCCGAGTTTTACACAAACAAGCATGGGAAATTAAGATTTTGTTCTACATTTCCATCTTATTCATTCATTCATTCATTCATTCGTTCGTTCGTCCATCCGTCCGTCCATCCATCCATTCATTTTATTAACTGCAAGATACATCCATCCATCCATCCATCCATCCATCCATCCATCCATCCATCCATCCATCCATCCATCCATCCATCCTATTAACTGCAAGAGATCATAACATTTCTTCAAAGCTTCATGGACCCCCTGTGAGAACATTGCTGCCCCCCTGGGGGTCCAGAGTAATTTTACTTTCTTTCTTTGCTGATCCAAAACTGCTCTAAGTGACATTAATTTTTATATTAAGACAATGCCAATGATGATTATATATTTATGAATGAGATTAGGATCATTATAATCCATATATCACTGCACTCAAATAATCTTATCTTATATCTCGTATCTTATTGTTAGGAACTGACGCTAGTTGAATGCTCTAATGTATGTTAGGAACTGGCCCAGATCTCAGCAGCCTTCATGACTGAGTGGATTTAAGTGCATCCTACAGCAATTTTGCCCATTTTTCTGTGAAGTATAGCTCAGTCAGAATTCCACAGTTCTTGTACTACTGATATAATTTCACTGTACTCCAGCCAAGGAAGCTGACACAGCACAGACAGTAAATCAGTAGCTTCCACCAGTTCCACATCATCAATATTATAAATGCCTTCTGCAGGGCATGCATTGCTAAGCAGCCTGGCTGTTTGCAATGCTCGAAGCAACTTTTAAAAATTTGCAGTTCTTTGGGATAATTTGCAAAAAGTCAGATGCAAATGGGAAGAAGAAAAAAACCCTAGTATTTTTAGAAATCACCAGTATTGGGCTGGTGTTAAGAGAAATTGCAGGGCTACACATTTAGGTATAAACAAATTGAGATGACTGAAATGACCATAATGCTCTATAGTCTCTTCCTTAATATCTCTTTTAGCTTCAGAAGCACCCGTCTGGTTTGTCTCATTATCTTGGCCCATTTTGTGCACCTTTGTTACTATTTTTAAAATGGTCTGTTTTCTTTTCTTTTTATCTAAATTTTTTATTGTTATACAGCCCACAAAAGATGTAAAGAAAAAAAGGAGATGCAAGTTCTAAAAATAATATTCTGCAAAATATTCTAAATAAATATTTGAAGAAGTAGGCATACAGTTACACCAGTGTTATAGCCCTACAAGAGTTGCAGGCTTTTCTTTCCTTTTATTACACACCTATTAATACCTGATCAACAAGATACACAAATCTCAGCTAAATTATTGACAACCGTCTCCCAAGTACATACAGCCCCCCCCGCTCATTAATTACACTGGTGCCTCACTAGACAGTTACCCGCATGACAGTTTTTTCGCTAGACATTGGCTTTTTGCGATCGCTATAGCGATTCGCAAAACAGTGATTCCTATGGGGGAATTTTGCTGGACAATGTTTGGTCCCTGCTTCGCAAACCGATTTTTGCTAGGCGATTTTGACAGCTCCCTCTGTGCTCGCAAACAGGTGTTTTCAGGACCTAAGCTTCGCAAGACAGCAATTTAAACAGCTGATCATTGGTTCGCAAAGCGGCTTTCCTTATGGCTGATCTTTGCTAGACAATGACGATTCTTCCCCATTGGAACACATTAAACAGGTTTCAATGCATTCCAATGGGGAAATGCTTTTCGCTGGACAATGATTTCACTAAACAGTGATTTCAGTGGAATAGATTATCATCGTCTAGTGAGGCACCACTGTACTCATAATCATAACTGGTACAGAATTTATTCTTCTACAATTCAGGTATATATTAATTTGCATAAAGTACTTATCCTGCATGAATATTTGTTCCACAAAATATAATTTTTGCATAAAAAAGGCATGGTTTTATTTTGCTCTTAAAACTAGAGGGGCTCCTTTGACAGTGGAAGACACCCCAGTGGACAACAACTTCATATTTTCACGCACAAAGTTGCGTTGCTGCACTGTCGCCAATCTCACAGAGGTATTCCTGCAATCCACTTTTGCTGATGACGTTGGTGGCACACTCTGAGGGGGCAAGCCATTGATTTCATACATCCACTGCATTGCTGTTGTCTGAAAAAAGATAAATGTTTCAACAGAAGAGGTTGTTCAGGCTGTATCCCTGTGAAGCATGCAACTGTTATCTACCACAAAGTTTATATAATTAGACCATTCATTGTTCCCTACATGAGGGGGTCCCTCAAAAAGAAAAAGAAAAATCACATTACCAGAACTGCACCATGGTGAAGAGAGGGAGAGAGAAACACTGACTTACATAATGAGCAAGGCAGAACATTTCATTTTATGAAGAGCAGAACGTAAGAAATATGTATACTGTCTAATGCCCTAGGTAATCTAAACTCCTGTTAATGTGCAACAGTTTGGGATGCAGTTTTGAGGAAATTATTTCACAGTAGGAAGTAAACAAAAATAACAAATGAGTGGCTGCTTTTATTTGTACCCCAGGGATTAATGGCAGGGGGTGGTAGAAATAAATAGCAGCAACTTTTATCATTTAGTTAAGTGAGCCATCTCATAATATGAGAAGAGAAAGACACTCAGAGAATTTCCTACTGTAAACTCTGTACCTGACCTAAGTGTGACAGATGTTTCTATCTCATAGCAAGAGACCTTGCTGATGGCAGAGAAACAGCAGTACTCTTTCCATTAGTGCTGCATAGATGTAGATATAGTTTTCTCAGAACTCCTACACTCATCTATTCTGTGCTAAAATAGAATACAAAAATATCTTTGCTATCACTTGTTTCAAAAAACCTACATTGTAGCAGAATAATAAAACATAAATTACAGCATTAATACTGGTAACAATGACAACAGTAGTTTCCACTAAAGTCCTTCTGTTTCTGAAAAGCAAATGAGCCGTAAAAGAAAGCCCAGAATAATATGCGCCCAAGCTTCTTTGACAGATTATTTCAGTTACGTCAATTCAAACGTGTCCAAGAAATCTGGTCATCTTTTCTTCATCATCTCATCCCCTCGGAGGATAACAAAGAAACTAGCAATACTGCAGTCCACGTACAGAAGGCCTGGAATACTTGCCAAGCGATCTAAGCGACAGGCAGGCATCTCCCAAAAAGGTCTAGCTCACTCTGGCTGGCCTCCATTTGTCCCTTATTATGGCAGCTGAGACTGGGAACCTCTGCATCTGCTTTGGATTAACTGCAGCATAGTGTATTCTCTGAACCATAAACTGTGACTAAATTATGTTTGAAGTCAACTAGCCTCAAACTCAAGGTTCTACAAAACACATTCCTGAGACTACAGTACCAATCCAATATGATTATTGAACAAATTAACAGGGAATATTGAATACCCAGAAGTGACCTACTGCAGGAGAGATCCTGCACAAGATATTAAAGTTGCCATTTTGGAGAAGAAAATTACAGGACAAGAATCCAGAGAGAGACAACTGAGATAAAATACACATATACATATGCTTAAAATCCATGGGGTCAATATTAGCCAAGGTTTCTTAGGCCATTATCAAATGTAAAACACTACAATAACTGTGTTGTATCTGCTGCATTTCCAAGTTGTATTTCCTTCCTAACTAACCAGAGCCATCTTACAAACTTCAAAGAAAAATGAAGATTCTTAACTCATTATTGTGTTGTTCCTGCTATCGGTAGCCCCAGGGTAATTTAGCCACCAACCGTTTATTTATAGAACAAAACTTCCTAAGTGAGGAACTAAATATGAAGCAGGTTTCTTAAAAGCCATTACCAGGTGTGAAATTCTGCCCAGTCAACAACTTGTGCTCAGGAATCAGTCTCTTTATTTCAGGCCATGTACAAATGTATAAATATTTGCCATGTTGTCTTGCTCTTACATCTGAAGAAGTGGACTTGTTCACAAAAGCTCACATTAAAATACAGCAGTTAGTCTTTAAAGAGCCAAAACATTTCTGTATTATTTATTTATTTAGTTTGATTTTGTTTTTGACTCAAGAAGTTAGTGATAGAAAAATATTTAACAATGAGTTGTGTAAATTTACCAAGCATCTTTTGCTGAATATAAAATAGTTTCTTACCAGCAGCGCTAGTGTATGACATTGAATATTAAAAAGACAGGTGAACATTCTTTTGCTTCAATATCTGGGAACTTTTAGTGGAACTATAAACAAACAAATTATAGCAGAATTGAAACTGCAAGTGGATTTTGCTATATTGACCCCTGAGGAAGATAGCGAGAACAAGCTCGCTCTTGATTTTTACTTAGAGCAACCCCTTCCATGGTGATTTATCTGCTGAGGAACCCTGTGCATATCTGCTTTAAAAGTCACTACAGCAGATTTAAGGTCATGTTCTACAATCAGCAGTCAGTTCATATGGAGCAGGTCTATTTATTAATCACAATATATTTCTATATTGGCCTTCTTGTTTCTTCTCTTGAATTGTGAGATTTCATCAATAAATGCTTAGATGCACATGGAACTTATTTATACCCCATCTGGATTATTGTAACGTGCTGTAGTTGCAATTATCTTTGAAAAGTGTTCAGAATCAAACTGACATGGCCATGCTGAGGACTGGAGCCATTTATAATGAGAATAAAAGTTCTACTGAGAGAGTGATGAGAAAAGTCCATTTACTGCTGGGTAGATTGGTTCTTCTTTGTTGTGTTTTTAATGGGGTTTAAAATTCTGTTAATTTTGTGGTATTTTAATACATTAGTAGGGTTTTTTAATACTGCAATTATGCTTGTAAACTGTCTACTTTTCAGATTCATGTTGGGTGCTGTCTTGCAGAGAAGAAAGAAGAGATATAAAACTAACTAACTAACTAACTAACTAACTAACTAACTAACTAACTAACTAACTAACTAACTAACTAACTAACTACTAACTAACTAACTAACTAACTAACTAACTAACTAACTAACTAACTAACTAACTAACTAACTAACTAACTAACTAACTAACTAACTAACTAACTAACTAACTAACGGCTACAACCCTGTGGGGTGGCTATAGCTCAGAGCAGGTCGTATAAAATGTCTCTGGTTCAATTTCTGGCATTTCCAGATAGGGTGAGGAAAGACTCCCATTTGAAACCCTTCTACACCCAGCCAATGTCAGCAATACTAAAACTGATGGACCAATGATTTAACTTTGCACAGGAGAGGTTCTTCTAGATGGATTGCATGGAAAACTTTGGAGCAGGTGGTCAGATGTACCTTCACCACATAACTCTCTGACAAATGACAGAGGTTTGTTCTGCAGCTGAAGCTGTTGGCATTTTAACTGTTTGATTTCAGTTTATTTAAAAGGAAAAAAGTGTTAGTAGGAGGAGTGCTTGGCTATTACCTGTATTTGCTCTCTCTGGTCCTGCCCCCACTATGGTATTCTATACAGTTACAGTTGAAACAAGAAACATGGTAGGGCACTCTCTATCCCTGGAAGTGGGCAGCATGAATAGGAACAGGGGAAAGAGGCTGGAGCTGCCACTCTTTTCAGCACTGCTGCTTGGTCCTTTCTGCTGACCAATTAGCCTGACAGGGCAAAGACTCATCCTCTACCTTGCCAGGCTTTGGAAGCAGCAGGACAGCACTTCTTCTCAAACATGGTGCAGCTGATAAGCCACCTCCTCAGTTCACCATTTCAGATGTCCTGGAGGAATTCCTATGAGGGTTCTGAAGAACTCAGGGTTTCTTGAAGGCTAGTTTACAAGTGAATAGTACAGATGGATGATTTGCAATCGCCTACCCCGACCCAATGCCCTCCAGATCTGTAAGACTATAGCACCTATTACATGCTGGCTGGGAATGATGAAAATTGTAGTCCAATCAAACTGAAGTGCAATTTATTTATTTATTTGTTTTATTTTAATTTATTTAGATTTATACCCCACCAATCTAGACCAAAGGTCTACTCTGGGCAGCATAAAAAAATTTAAAAACAGTAAAACCAACAAACATGCAATAAAACCAAGATGGTAAAATGTGAATTTAAGATACAGCAGGAGGGAAAGCCTTCTCAAATAGTCAAGTCTTGAGTTTACTTCTGAAGACACCCAAAGAGGGAGCCAGGCAGATCTCCATGGGCAAGTTGTTCCTGAGATGAGGGGCCACTGCCAAGGAGGCTGTAGGGGGGAGAAATTGAGCCATAGCTATGCCTAGAAATCTCAGGTGTCTCTACTGAAATCAAATTAAGTAGGGATGCCACAGATGGGCTTACTAGGCACAAAAAGGTATGGCACAATTGAGCTATGCCTCAGCTGCTTCATTTAACTAAAACTACAACCGTCAAATATAAGTGCAATTCCAAGTAGGTGATATGAAGCTAGATGGATCAATAGTCTGCTTCATTATAAAACAGTTTTAATCCAGTATATTCACACATAGCTTCCTTTATGGAGAGGTAGAGGGATGGGACACCAGTTATGGGGAGAAGAGCAAAGGGCATGCATTAATTGCTTTAAATTAAAGCATCAGGTTCCTCATTTTAAAGTAAACGATAGACACCAAAAGAAATGGGCTATTTCATGGACTCAAGAGAAACACCCCAATCAGTGCATTAGACCTCACATATCTCCTAAAAAAGAATCATTGTAGCAAAACTGAGGAAAATCACTTATTAGCAACATGTTCTGGTGAGATTTCATACTTAATAATAGAGGTGTGCATCAGATTCAGAAGCATCACAAATTTGACAACAGATTAGTCCAATTTGATCTGATTTGTATGAGGTCTGGATTGAAACAAAATTATCAGATTCAGTTCCAGATTGAAGCAAAATAAATTTGAAATTCTGTTTGTGGAGTACACATTGAATTAGATGGGACACATATCACTTCAGCCAACTTGGGGTTGGGGAAAGTTAGATCAAAAAGTAAAGTCCCCGTCTTTAATTTGGCAGGTCTACTCCACACTCTAAGGTATATACTTTCAGATTTCACATATCTCAGTACAAATGCAATATAAGTCTTCCAGTGTCTTGTTCTTCCAGTGGATCAAATTTATAAATTAACAAATAAGTTCAGATCCAAGGCACAACTCAATATGAATAGGGCACAACTTACTCTTTGATTTTGGAGCTAAATTTGGGAGTCCCAAATCAGCCTACATATTAAATCAGGGGATCTGTGCAGAACCCTATTTATCTCCAAGGCATCCCTTGAAACCTTTCCTTCCATCCCAAGCAAGAAATAGCTGGAGAACAGCCATGATAATTGCTCTGTGTTTGGGTGAGAAGTGTTTAACTGATGAAAAAAGGAGTCAGATTCTGGGACTTTCCCTTGCTTGTTTTCAGTGACCACAAGAGGGGATCCTATAGAAAGTGCTGACATTGGTGTTGTCAGTATTCAGACTGGCCTTTGCTATTTATAGCTTGGCAACTTTTTCCTGCTGGCAGTGGAAGCATGATATTACAAGGCAATGTCTGACCATTTCCTGGAGTTTTGAGTTGGAATTGCAGAAGTAATATCTCCCATTCATAAACTGGAGTTTTTTTTTTTAAAAAAAAATACTGGATATGCAGTTAAAGGTACCACTCTATTTATCTCATTTACTCAGCTAAACTTTCAGCTACCTCTAATCATCCTCACTAGGAAATGACCCAAATTAGCAGCATACTGCCTTGTTCTATAAAGATTTGTATATGCAGTGCTTTCCAAACATTTCCCGTCATATGCCTCTTCTAGTAGCAAAATGAGGCTACACAATTATGATCACTTAAAAGGATTAAAGTCATCATCAATGAAAGCAATTGAACTACCACTCAAAAGACCCCATTAGAGGAATTCAAAAGGGAACACTCAAATTCATGAAGGGGAAAAATAGCTTTCTCTAAATAGCTTTCTCTTTAATTCAAAATATACATGGTCAATCTAGGGTTTCTTTTCTTTCTTCAAATACGTAATACAATGAATAAACAAAACTAGCATAATGAAACCCTGGTTTCTTTTCCCATGTATAGGACAAAAACCTTTTAAAAAGAAATTTACAAGGAAAAGCTAAAGCAACCCAAAACAATCTCACCCCCCCCCCCCGTATATGTATATTTACTAGTTAGGTGTAGTGGACAGAGTGACAAATGTGGACTCAAGAGAACTGGGTTCAAATCCACATTCAGCCATAGAAAATCACTGTGGTGTGGCTATGTTAAAAACACTCCTTAAATATCTCACGTATCTTGAAAACCGTTAGTGTTTCCATAAGTCAGATATGATGTGATGGCACATAACAAGAAAGTGTAACAAAATCTATGGGTTTCACTACCTATTGAAATTCTGTTCACTTACAGCCAAATATATCAATTTTTCTAGCATGAAACCATATCCATAGAAACAATTGTTTTTAGCATTTATCTTAGAAAGGAAATCCTTAAATCCACAGGCTTGCTATAGCAAGGAGCTCATCAAGAATCCAACTGTTAGGGCTCACCTGTATTACCAGTGTTGCTTTATGTTTCTTGCTATACATACTGGGCTTGAATCCAACAGTTAGGCAGGTGCCTGGTGTGTCAAGTGGAAGCAACTCGCCCGCTTGAGGGGATACAACAAATTCTGGATCACTGCCTGGGAGGAAGTATGCTGTGTAGGGATCTGGATGCCTAGAAAACAGCACAGAAAAATGTATCATACAACATTTATCACTATACAATACTTACTCTTACTGACCGGTGCACTGTTACCAATGTCACCACTTGGAACATTAATGCTGGCTTATAGCTGGACAGCCTGTCATTCAACTGAATTAATCAAGATGCTGGCTTTTTTCAATCTTAACATATTCTGCAACAGTAACAGGAACAAACTTTTTAAAAAAATGGTAGCAAGGGTTATTTTTTAATGATGTGAGTCTTGTTTTGCTTAGGTGTTACTATAACAACCAGCAATTGTCCCTTTTGGACAGCAGGAGGCATGTACTATTATGCCTAAGCCTGTACTGGGGTCTAAGATGAAGTCTTCTAAGTCAAGGCTTTGAAAAATCACACACACACAAACACAATACCATAGTAACACAGCTTCATGTATCTAAATCATTTTTTACACTTTTTTCTATTAGTTTTTTTTTTAAAAAAAACCTAATGGAAATATTACTCAATATATACACATAGGAAGAATGCCCTGAGTATGTAACTCTCCATTCAGTACCTTTGCTTGCATCTGCAGGCAGCCAGAAAGAACTACCGGTACCCCAGTTTAAATTAAAGTACAAGATGCAGAGAGACTCAGGCTACAAACACTGGTAGTTTTCCAACAGTTACATTTTTTTTTTAACTTTCAAGACATTGCCAAGTTTACATGCCTTACCAGAGAAAAAAGCCCTATCTAACATACTTTCAGACTGAATATCTGAAAATGTCTCTCTTCCTCTAGACCAGCCTGGATGTTCAGATCAGAAAAGGAGTTCATGTTGTAAATACCACCCTCTCAGAAATTTATGGTACAATAAATAGGGCATGTACAAGGGCCTTTCCTTCTTTCTTTCTTTCTTTCTTTCTTTCTTTCTTTCTTTCTTTCTTGGCACTGAAGCTATGAAATTCTTTCCTATCCAAAGTGTGTCAGGTGCCCTCCAATAAATAGGGCATGTACAAGGGCCTTTCTTTCTTTCTTTCTTTCGTGGCACTGAAGCTATGAAATTCTTTCCCATCCAAAGTGTGTCAGGTGCCCTTTTTGTATGTTTTCTTCTTCTTCTGGGAAGCCTCTTCTGTCCAGAACTTTGGAAGTAGGTGATGGATGCTGTCAAGTATTCCTCTTTTAGTGACTGTGTATTATTTTGATGTTTTAAACTTCTGACAGCAATTCTGATTCCTTTATACTCAGATGTTATTCAAGAAGCTTATATTAAAACTACTCTTTGTAAAAAAAAAAAAGAGATAAAATTGATTCTTGTGCAGGAAATGAAAGAATGCACAGAACTCAAGCTCTTATTGCACAGTCGCTTCTTTCACACATAATACACCAGCTTGATACTTTACACACAACGGGCATTATTCTATGCAAAATAGTTTCATCTGTGGACATATAAAAAAGAAATTTGGTCATTAAAATGGGAAGTCTCCTTTTTTTACTGCTTAAAGCACCCTTCAAATAATAATAAACACTTGTGGGACAGAGATTTTTTTTTCACCCAAAAATCATAAGAAGACTTTCTCCCTTCCAAATGTAATTCATTTTGATAGGTGTAATAGACATGGGATGGTTCTATGGTTTCCTCTGCGGAAAATGCTTCTTTCTTGTAGAACATGCCGTTCTATTTTGCCCAGGCCATCTATCACCTTCAAAAGCAACTCTGCAGTCCATGTTATCTACTAGATGGTGCTTAGGGCAGCTCTTCAGGGTAAGCTCAATAGTTCTGTGGAAAAAGTGGGGCATTTGTTTGTTTTTCTGAACTATGGGGGCAAAACTAAAAGGCTTTTCTTTCAGGAATCCCCTCCCCCCCTTTTGTATGGGTGTGTGTTGACTATTTCCAATGCAATCCCACAGAGTTTGTAATGCTTGATTCTGCAGTACACTCTGTGTGGTCCAAGGAAGAACAGAGAGCTTGTGCCTACTTCAGCTCCTGGCATGCACAGGATGGTCCTTGGAATGCCTGAACAGTGATAGGATTCTGTTGATATTTGTGTAATCCAACCTGGGATTATTAGTGGAAGGTCAGGCTGTAAAGCAAATACCATATTTTTCTGTGTATAAGATGCCCCCATGTATGATGCCCCCACTTTTCTAATCCAAAATTAAGAAATCGAAGTGGGGCTTAGCAAGTGTAAGGGGAAAAGGATCAAAGTGCTGCAGGATCGCTTTGATCCCTGCTTTCCCCTCCACTTGTTTTTGTTCTCTTGTTACCTCTGTGTATAAAATGACCCTCAACTTTTAGTCTAAAGGTTTTAGACAAAAGCATAGTCTTATACACGGAAAAATATGGTAAATACTTTAGGTAACTGAACTGTACAAATTAGATGACTTTAGAAGAGTAAGTACAACCAAGTGATAGCAAGCTAGATCAGGCACATATTGCCCTTCTTTCAGATCCTGCTAGTGCCAGCCAAATATTTTGTCTTAGGCAACAAATGCCATTCTCTTTCACATGCAAATGAAAATTATAGCCCACAAATAGTCTTTGCTTCCAGAATCCAAAATGCAAAGGTAGTCTCAGTAGTATGCAACACTGTTAGCACAGCTGAAATTATTCCTTATGCCAATCACTTGCATGCTTAAAATAAAGGACTGAGCCAGTAGCTCTTGTGTAAAAGTTATCTTGATACTTCAAGAACCGGTGATATAAAAATGTTAGCCTCCCCCCTCCAAACACACACATGGTTCTTTTCCAGCCCCCCAAATTCTTTATATAGTCTGAAAGGTGTTGTCAGGTTTATCAGATTACATCTTGTATTAGACTTTACAGAACATATCACAATGTGAACTGGTCACTTGACATTTCACAGAGAACCTTGCATCCATTATTGTCCTCTCCTATAGCACATTTTTCTTCATGCTTGCTGAGGAAGCCTTATCTTAGAACACAGCATTCAAGGGAAGTAACAGATATATGGCTTTAACTGTAACTGCTAATACATTATACATGGAAAGCTGTGCAATTTTCTTGGAAAAATAATAGATTACTCTCTTTTTTTCAATCTACTGTAGCTTTCTAAAATAGCTACTGTAATTATTTTGAATATAGAACTAATGCAGTTTTGAAGACAAAAATGCAAAGATAGATGAGGAGTGCTTTCTTTTTCTTTTTTTTAAATAACAATTTGATATTGTTCAAATATCAAATTGAACCAGGAATATTTCAAGGAAGCCTTGTTATCATGAGATAACTTACAGTGGTAAACTTTTACACAACACCGACAAGCACTAGGTAATTGACAGGCAGTTTCCCCCCAAAAGGATGACATGTCTACAGGAGTATAAAGGTCCCGTCATTTATCATCATTGATTACATTATCTACCTGTCCAAAAGAAACTTGGCTTTAATCAATCACTCTGGGACATGAAATGTAGACCCCAAGAGATTTCAGCTCTACAGATGACCCCTCTGCACCTTTAGAGAGAAAGCTTCAAACCACTGAATGACACAATGATTTGTTAATATTGTCAGGTAACCTAGCTGGGGATTGATAGCAAATATGTTATTTTAGTATCTCCATAGTGCCATCATTAAGAATATATTTTGAATCATTTCCAGTATCACGGCAATATAGCCATGTATACAAATGAGCATTTCCCCTCTCACAGTAGCTTCATTATTGACCCGTTTTTAAAGACATGAAAACACTGAACAGATACCTTAAAATCAAATAAGGCTGTGAGAACTCCATTTTAAAGAATTTATTATCAACATTAACATTTGTTTAGTAACCTCTGAACAAATCAGTGTTTTTTTTAAAAATTTGTCCACTATGAAAGTCATTACAGAAAAGATACCAAACTGAGTTTATCTGTGTTTGAATGTACTTGTCATCCATCAACGATCTTTGACTGGCTATTAACAAACACTATTAAAATCTCTATTTGTGATGGCTCAGGATTATCAATGACATTATTGAAGACTTTCACAGCCGGGATCCGATGGTTGTTGTAGGTTTTTCAGGCTGTCCGGCTGTGTTCTTGAGGTTTTTCTTCCCAATGGTTCACCAGTCTCTGCGGCCGGCATCTTCAGAGGACAGGAGTCAGAACTCTCTCTGTGCTCTGGTAACTCTGTCTGTGCTCTGTGCTTCAGAGGACAGGAGTCACACAGAGTTCTAACTCCTGTCCTCTGAAGATGCCAGCCAGAGAGAGTGGCAAAAAAGATAGTTAGAAAAATCTCAAGAACACGGCCAGACAGCCCGAAAAACCTACAACAACAATTATCAATGACCATTAACAAGCACTTACTGGCCATCACTATGCTGGAGTTTTTGCATTTCCGTTACATTATGTACAACCAATCCCTCCTTAATGTATAAATGTTTGTCCACAGAGGCTTCATTCTATACATCTCAAGAAGCAGGCTACAGACCATGCAAACTTATCTCAAATAAAATGTGCTCAAACAGACTAAGATGGCTACCTTTCCTTGTCATTGCTGCTTTATGTTGTTTAGTAAATTCATCCCAGTTCCAACTGAACAATGTCACAGAATACAAATATAATAGAACTGTGTGATGAACTAGCTTGTGTACTTCATCTTCTATACATCTCAAGAAGCAGGCTACAGACCATGCAAACTTATCTCAAATAAAATGTGCTCAAACAGACTAAGATGGCTACCTTTCCTTGTCATTGCTGCTTTATGTTGTTTAGTAAATTCATCCCAGTTCCAACTGAACAATGTCACAGAATACAAATATAATAGAACTGTGTGATGAACTAGCTTGTGTACTTCATCGAATCATAGAATCACAGAATAATGGAGTTGGAAGGGACCTATAAGGCCATTGAGTCCAACCCCCGGTCCAATTCAGGAATACAAATCAAAGGCTATCTGCTATGTGGTTGTCCAAGTTTCTCTTGAAGGCTTCCAGTGCTGGAGCACTCACCACCTCCTGAGATAATTGATTCCATTGCCATACTGCTCTAAGAGTTAGGAAGTTTTTTCCTGATATTCAACTGAAATCTGGCT